TAAATCAAAAAAGGTAATGAAACAATTCATTATGTTGCTACCAATAATTTAATAGATTAAAATTTAAAAAAAAAAAATGAAAATTGATGATATTAATGCTTTTATTTTTTGGCAAAATGTTATTACTGATTTTTTAGGTCAAATAAAAATACTATTTTCAGCAATCATTAAAATTTATAAAATAAAATATTCCTCACTTTGCTCAGAATCTAAAAAGAATTTGCATTAAAAAAATTATATTTAAAATCAACAACACAAAGTTAGAATTATCATTGATGTAATTCAAATATATTTAAACCCATTTAAAACACTATTACACACAATATGTAAAAGTTGATCCTTTTCGCGAGAATTATCTAGGTACAGTAAATCTACCGAGCTCCATCTCCTACAAAACTATACTACAATCTTATTATTTATAACTAAGATATTTAAATAAAATATTTGTTAACTGAATTTGGTAGCTACATATTATTTTCATTTAACATAATATTTGATTTCTATAGCTCATACGTAGCTAAGTTTTAAATATTATTTTAAAACGTACATAAATCTAGATGATTCACTGAGTATTTTAAATTTTTAAAACGTTTTAATAACTTAAATTCATGACTAATAGAGAATGACTAACCAATATATTATTCGACCATGCACATTATACAGTAGTGAGTACAAAGTAAAATAAATATTTAGGTACCTATGTTTATTTCATAGCATATAAATTATTTTGAACTAGGTATCTAGTAATTAAATTAACCAAAGAACTATAGATACTTACGGGTAGTCTCCATTTATACAAAAATCGGTTAGCAACACAAATGAAAATTACACACTAAATCAGAAATATGAATGGTTTTTAGGAGTGTAGTAGACAGTCTAAACGAAGATCACGTGCGTACCGCAAGTGTCGCTTTGTCGTCGTTCACTATAAACAATATAAACAATTAATCTATTGAATTTTTTAGGTTAGGTGTTATCATAACGCACTTGCCTTGGTTAGTTATCTACAGACTTTGTAACGAATAATATCACACTGATAAGTAATACAATGTTTGAATTATTTGATAAATTTATGAATACCTTCTTTTGATAAACTGATTATTGATAAGTTAATTGTTTTTTTTTTTTTTTAATAGTATTAACTTTGATTGAAATTTATTCATTGTTTGACAATATTTGAAAATAAAGAAGATCAGATTGAATATTCTCCATAGAAAATTGATTTTTTAAGATAATAATTAATAATTGTACGCCCTCTAAAATATTTTCATAAAATTTGCTCTTTTTGTTTGCCTTTTTATCTCAGGACTTTTATCGAGACATTCCTAATTGGCAAAGAAAAAGGTCGGTTCTCACTTATCCAACTTCTAATCTTTTATCATATCGACTTTTGTAACAATAAATGCTCCTATCTAACTTTTAATTGAGTTTCCTTAGATGAATAAAGTTCGTTTTTTTCGTGGTTGGTGCTAAAAAAAACACTTTTTTCGTTACGACAGTCAACAAAATATGTTGTCTAAATATCACCCATAGAGAAGTATACTAATCAGGTATCACCTAACCAGCTGACACACCAGCATATAGAGTGCCTCGAGAAGATATCAAACGTCGATTCTAGTCATTTTTCGATTTTCACAAATGTTTTCCTAGCAAATGTGAAAAACCGAGAAAATCGGTAAAACATTAAAAAAAAAATACATCGAGCCTATTTTATTATTTTACTATGATATGTCATATACATTTTTTACTAAACATCACTATCAACTGAACTCCGCTCAGAATCGTTATTTAGTTAGCAATGGTTTATCGTTGCTTACAGGTATACATTAAATTACCTATCGATGGTAACATGGGACGGATTTTAATTAAGCAGACTTTATTTATATAATTGCTTTATTTAAATATTAAGTCAAACATTGAGTGTAGGTATTCAAGGAGATAGGTAAATTTGAATAATGGATAACTAATTTTGTGAAAGAGCAAAGAACCGAGTAAATTGGATACGTAATGAGGAGATCTGACACAGAGAACTTAAATGCAGAAAGCCAACAGGAAAAAGACCAAGTTGTCGTCCAAAAATGCGTGCGAGATAATGTAAGACTTAGAAAAACTGGAGATAATGAATTGAGAAGAAATAAATAATGAACAATCGAAAGGAGTAGAGGAAAATGTTGGTGGGGTCCAAAATTCTTGAAGAGTTGTGACTTTCAGAAAAGAAATAAAGAGATACTTAGGTACTTATTTAAATTCTTGCTGGTTTATTAAAATACACTAAAGACAAATGAAAGTAAAAAATTATTTATAAGTATTTGGAATTATTAATTAATCGAAACGATGTTTTAACCACATTGATTTGTAGTTTTAACATACTTCAATCGTGAAAAAAAAATGAACAGTGTAATTAAACTTCTTTTGAAGATTTTTTCGTTTTTATCATTATTGACATGAATATAGATAACAATTTAGTTTTCATGATAACTTTATGGGCCAGTTAATTTTTTCTTTATGATATTATCTTAATAATTTTTACCAAGTTTGTGATTTGTGAATTTGATCTTGAATAGTTAATGTACCTAATTAGTAACTAGTAACGTATTAATGTTTGAAAATTGTATTTTTTAAACTGATCACTGCTTATTATCATATCATTATAATCTATTTGCAATTTATAATTAATGTTAAATGTGTGTGTATCCAAATAAAATTTAACAATTATACATTTACAAAACAAACAATGGCTATAGACAACTTAAAGCATTTTATTTTGCGTAACAAAGAAGTTATAATGTTTTTAGTAGGTTTTGGTGCTATCCACTATGGTTGGTACAGTTTACATCATAACAGTACATTGAATAAGGCATTAACAGCAGCCCGTGATAAAGAGACACTTAAGGTAACTTAAGTATTTTGTTATGCAATTTACTAAATTTATATTATGATATATTAAATTTAATGAAAACCATAATGAAAAACAACACACACGTATAGTTGGTGTACAATCTTAACTATTAAGTACCTATTGTGTGTATTTCTTATTTTTGTTTGCATCCAATTTACTCTAGTTGATATTTTCTGAATTCTGCTTATTTTTCTTTTAAAATGCCTTAAGAAAACTCTATATTTCCTAAATGTTTAGAAACCATAATTTATATTATATTAAATTTATGTATATTTATAAATAATCTATATTAAATCTAGATCACTTATCTAGACTTTTGCTAATATTTATATACATTTTAAATGACTAAAAAGGAATAATCTTAGTAGGTTTTTTGAACAAGAAATATTTTTATAGAAAATACATGAGTGGCAATTGAAAATATTAAATTTATTAGACTAACTTATCAATGACATATGTGTGTTGTATGATAGAATTATAATTTAAATTAAGTGATTATTTTCCTAACTTATAGATTCTTAGTTATTATTATTTTTAATTATTTTATATGTAGTGTTTCTATAATATATTTATCTTTTTTTTCATTATTTTTAGGAGTATAAACGGTTGGAAAAAGAGATAAATGATTTATCTGATCAACAGAATTACAATAAAAACTGAAATTCGATCCCAGTGTAATTTTAAATGTTGTAGCAACCTTTACTAATAAACCTACTGATACTGATGAATTAGTTATAATTGTATTCACTTTAACTATTATAGTTATAAAAATAAAACAATGTGTAAAATATAATATCAAATTTGTTTATTGATTGTTACTAATTATTTAATAATAAAGACTAAATATATATTTACAATATTATGATTTAAAAAATGAAAAAAAAATATTTTAAAGTATGTAGTTCATAACAAACATGTAGGTATGTGTTTGATAAGTAATTAGTTTTATAATTATACTTTAGGTAATATAGAATATATCTAAATTTTTGTAAAATTAGATTAACATTTGATATCATTAAATAGCTTTTTTAATTTAATTAATTTTAGTGTTGAAATGAAATGTAAAAATGGGGGCAAATTATTTATATTTTTAGTAAATTAATTATAAATTGTGTATTAAATTATTATAAAATATATAAATAAAAACTGTAGTCCATTGACGGGGTGGATGGGAAGAACGTGCCCTGTGCACTGGATCCGCCACTGGATTTATAGAAAAATAATAAATCATAGTCCTAGACACTGGCATAAATATCAAAAAAGAAAATTATTTTTTTGTTATATGTATGTATTATATTTATACGTGGTGTTATATAAAATGTCCATCATATTATACTGAGAAATATAGATTTTATAAGTAATATTAAATTAATGATTTATTAATAACAAAAAACCCCCTCTGTACTCAACTAGTTGTTTGAATATCACTTATCATAAATATGACATATGCATATTAATCATTTACATTTTGCATTACTGTTATACCATAATTGATAAGATCTACTCTTTACCAAATGGTTTATTATTGTACAATTTACTATTTAGTCAGTTATTATGAAAAAATTTAACACAAATATGTTGTTAAAAAAGAGAGTTCAAACATTAAATACATATTTAATAAAATTGAAATATCATAAATAGTTATTCATTAGCAATGAAATTAAATTATGAATTATAAACAAAATTACTGTGCATCTTACCTTTTTTATTTTAACTGAAGGTTTTTTTAAGAATAAGATATATTTTAGACAATAGAATTTAATCACTTCAAAATTTTAAACTCCAAGCCATACAAATTAAGCATAATTCTGAGAATCCTTTTCGTCCCAGTGAAGTAAGTAACTGTTAAAATACAATTGTAATTTGCAAAGAAACATTTGTGAAAGTTAATGATATGCCATAAATACAAATTTCAGTCAGAGAAATAGTATGAAAATGGCCCAATTTGAGAGTAGTTATGTAAGATTAATACCAGTAACTGATTTGAGGGTAGTGCAAGGGAATTCTATACCAGTTCTAATTTTTCAGAAACTTTAGAGTTTTTCTACTATTTATTTTAAGTGTAATTCATGGAACAGAATATATTTTTGCATTTTTATTAAAACAGACCACGTCTATAAAAGCCAAATTTCAAGTCTCTATGAATATTTTTAACTGAATAATAACAAAATATAAAATAATAAATAGTTAACTTTAATTGATTATAACTAATAATATCCTATTAGGCCACATATATTTCTACAACTATATAAACTAATACCTAAATGACTGAATAATAAAGTTTATTAAATAAATAAGTTATAATTTTATTATCAACAAAATTAATATACCGTGAAATTATGTAAATTATTTTTATACTTACATTATTTCTGCTAAGAAAATTTCAATTTTAGTTCAAATTGTTTTTTTTTTTTTTTGGAATTTATTACTTATACATTTTCTAAGGAAAAAAATTGTTATCCCTCATTTTTCACAACTTCCAACACATTTTATTTGTTATTGTTCACATGTTATTCAAATAGTAGGACAAATTTAGAAAAGTTAATAGTAAATTCACACAATATAGAAAGTTTTTTAAAAATGTTTTAATATGAAAAATTTAGACTAACTCTAGGTTACAAAATATAAACATTATAATAAGATTATAAAGTAAAAACAAAATTATTAAAATGGTTAATACTCGTAAATAAATATATGAATAAAAAATATATGTATACAAATTAAAAATAATGAATAGAATAGAATGATGAGTAACATGTTTAGCAAAATTTAAATTAGGGGCAGTCTTTTTTAAATTTATTTCAGAAATGTGTTCTTTATATCTTATTTTAAAATTTCTATTTGTCTTATCTATACAAAATTTCTTACCGTTACATTAAAGTTTATATTTACCAGAATTTTCAAAAAAAGGGCTATATAAATAAATAGCTAAATAGCTATATTATTTTGTACATTTTTTATACTTAATATTTTAATATTTCATACAAAAATAGTTAACAACATTATTTGGTTGATAGTTGTATTATTTTTTCTTCAATACATTTATGAATTTTTTAATTGTATTTAAATTTCAATTATTTCTATGGGCTATAATATAGATATATTTTGAGCTCGTGTTGATAATTATGTTTATTAAATGAAATACGTTTAAGCCTATAAAAAATTGAATTAAAAAATTATATTTTTTTGAGAATAAGGGTGATTAGAATCATATGGTGTTATAGCATCAGTTTCTGTAGGTTTTCTGTAAATACTAAAATCCAAGGTTGGGCATTATCATATTAAAAGTTAAAATTAAGTTAAAACATTAAGTTAATTTTCATCCAAAGAATAATACAAATTATTGAATGAGGTTTTTAATATACTTATAATTTACTATTTTAATATGAATTTCCTGTAGACGAAAATAATATGAAATTTAACTTTAATAGTCATAATATGGGCTATATAATATCTACCTACATGTTTATCATTATCAATTGTATTACTAATATTTTCAAAGGTATGTAATAAAGATTATTGCTTTGATGAGTTCCCTTAAGTGAATATCAAATGTTGTGAACGTTTTTCCATTATTAATGTGTGTTTGCTAAATGTCAATCTACTTTCAATAAGCAGAATCAATCGACACAGTGTGCTGATAAAATTAAAGAAATTCTGTGAAGATATCTCATAACACCAAATACTACCAGGCAAGTTAATATTATTTAAATTTTAATACTTTAAAATTGAATATCATGTATTATGACTTATAAGTGTTCTCCTTTCTCAGATCAAAGAGAGTCTTCATTTTTAATTGAATACTGCAAGGTAATATATTATTAATTATAAGAATGATAGGTATAATGAAAGAAATATAATAGTTTTATAATAAATTTACTAAAGAAAAAATTGAAATTAATTTGTCACTACTCTGGGTAGAAGGAATTGAGAAGGAAATTAAATTTTTTTTCAACGGGATGTATGATACTTATTATTTTGTTATCTTAGGTGATGAAACCAATTACAACAGGGCTAGATGTTTTACAAGGTGAACAATATGTGTGTATTGGATATCTATTACCAACAATTACAGCTATAAACAAAGCATTAAATAAATTTAATAATTTAAATTTCTGTAGACTATTGGTCCATGCTTTAAAAAATTGACTAACCAAAAGGTACTTTTATAAATTTGTTTAATTTTTATAATAATCATTAGGATTCAATTAAAAAATGATATATGTACACCAATGCTATTCATAAAAATTAAAACTTATTTATTTAGTTAAAATGGTACAAAAACGTTTTACAGAACTATTTCATAAATAGCGTTTATAATTTATAAATTTATAAATAATAATGCACTTGTAATACTTAAGTTAAAACTGATTATATCATTATATGTTACATGGTACATTAATTATATGTTATATTTTCAGGTTTAAAAATTGCATGCAGTCAAAAACACTACAAGTTTCTTCCTAATTGGTACCAAAGTTTAAATTAATTTGAACTAACCCAGAAGACAGAAACATCATAAAACAACATGTTATTGATCAAAACAAAAATTTTTTTTCTCTAAGTTCTTCAAATCTAAAAGCTATACCATCATCTGCACCTGTCGAGAGATTGTTTATTGTTGGTGGTCAATTATTTGATAAAATGAGAGGATCCATTTCTGATCAAAATTTTGAAATGTCTCTTTTGCTAAAATATAATAAATATTTTCAAAAAAAATATTAATTATGTTTTGTTTTTGTAATTAATTAATATTGGGTATATAATATATATATATTTACATGTTTATAGATAATATCTATTTACATATATATGTTATATAGCCACATAAATGAGATTATCGATTATCTTATTTATATGTTACCTAAATTATATGTAGTGACTTTTAACAATGATTGCTATAGTCATGATTCATAACTATTTTATTATTTATCATGTTTAGCAACAGTGGAAGTACAAAATTGGTAAACTTTAAATAATTGCATACAAATTCATAAATTTTGAAAACACAACTTCTATGTATAAAGTTAACTATTTTAAATGTATAATTATTTTTATATCCTATAACAGATATTTAAATTTTTTGTAAGTAAGGTTTAAAGCTTATATGTAATAAGCAAAATATGTAATTTTTTAAGATATTTATTAAAGGTTTAACATTTGTTGTTTTATTTTTATCTAATAATATAATACAAAATAATTATGGTTTTACTGATAATTGCCCATGTTGGGCTGAGCCTAGTCTTTTAAACTACATGGTGGCTGCATTTTGTCTACCCAGTATAAAAAATATATTTGGGTGGTGGGTATTGCTTGTTTGACTTTTAAAATTAGTGTGAATCAATTAAAAATATTGGTATCTTAGCAGTTAGGAGAAAACTATCAATGGTTTTTTTTAATTTTTGGATGTAAACCACTTGGGTAAATTGATTTGAGAGTAGAACTAGGATTTATTTTAGAAAAGTAGGTTTTTTGATAGCTAGTTAATACTTTTATGTATCATTTCAAATTTCCCCAGTAATTTTCTTAAGCGTAAAAAAACTAATATGTGTGCAATTTTTCATGCAAATTATAAAATTTTAACTTTAAACTAAGTTAGGTTACTTTTTTATTCAAAGTTAACTTTTAACTTAACAAGTTAACAAAAAAAACATGAGTAACTTTTAATTTAACTAAACTTTATTATTTTAAAATAACTTAACGAGTTAAAAAAATCGTTAACTTGCCCGGCCTTGCTATTATTACGGCTTGATTACCCATGTAATATTATAAATCAATATAAGTGTGGAACCTCTATTTTGTAATCGGATTTTAATAATATTTTCTTTTGTACTCTAGGTATAATTTCTTTCGAATTTGTTATCAGTTTATTAATTTGTTTAGTATAAATTATAGTTGGGTCATATGTTAAGTTTTGAATATCCTACCTCTAAGTAATACCTGTAGGTATTTATTTGTATAATACTCAATTATATCTATTAAAGTAGGTAGGCATATGATTTGTACCTACTAATAATTTATACGAATTATGTACTGATGTATTAAACTTTCATTGAAGGTATAATTTAACAACCGATAATACTATGTTGTAGTATATAGCAGATAGGTTAGGTATAGAATAAAATATTTTAATATTCTATAATCAATGCATGTAGGTATTAACTATTAAGGACCAGTTATACCAGACAGATTTAAACCAAGTTTAAACTAGATTTTAAGACCGTAACATACATTTACAAGATTAGTTTAACACTTAGATCTTAGTTAACACTTAGTTTAAAACCAAGTTTAGTTAAACCAACGATCTTGACGATTTAAATCAGGTTTATCAATATTTTTGCCATAGATTCATATATTTTGGCGGTTACATCAAAACAATTTTTTGTGGAATCCTATACAATATATATTTTATATTTTAATCGGTTTTCAACAGTTACAAATAATGTTTATGTATTGTTAAATTTTAAATTCTGAGTGAAGCAAAGAAGCTTATGGTTTTATAATGATGTTTTTTTTTATTATTATTATTTTGTTCTGTGGACAACTTTTCTACCAGATACCTTGCCCTGATTTTTATGTGTAGCACCTATTATGAAATGAAATCGGTGTGGGTAGGTACTTTAAGGAGGTAATTTTTCAATTTTCTCAACAAATGTAAAAAATCGAGGAAAAATGTAAGAAATGTAGATATTAAAAAATATGTCTGCCTTTTTTTTCCTGTGAACAATTTTTCTACCAGCAATTTTTTGAACATAAGTATATTACCGATTTAGGAATGAAATAAATTGAAAAATTAGATTTATTCTTTATAATTTTTTATTCGAACGATTTTTGTCAAAATCTGATATTAAAACTACTTCATAAAGAATACTACATAAAACTCAATTTTTTTTTTTTGACCACAAGGTAAGACTTTTAATGAATGTTAAATTTTCATGCATTTTTGTTTAGTCTAATAATTTTACCACATAGTACCAACCGAATAAAAATTACGTAAAAAACTTGCAAAATTTAAATGTTTATAAATAACTCAAAAAGGCTTAATTTTTTTGAAAATTTTACCACGTCTAGAAAAGATAAATATGATTTTTTTTATCCATATTTGAAGTCTATAAAATTGATATGAATTTTTTTAACTGAATTTTATATAATGTATATATTATAACAATATAGAATTATTTAACATAACATATAATATCCGCATAATATCACAAATTCAAAAAGCTATAATTTCAAAATTTAGTCGGCTAAATGTTGACTTTACCATCATTCAAAATTCATCTAATCATGGTAAGGCGATTTCAGAATTGAGCGGACTAACTAAATTTCGAAATTATAGCTTTTTGAAGTTTTCATATTATGCGGATATTATATATGTTGTGTTAAATAACTCTATATTTATCGTAATCTAATGGTTATTCATGCCACTAAATTATCATCTAGGGATCCCGAGTTCAAACCCGGGTTTCCGAGCAAAATTGTTTGCACTTTTTTTCCCTTTTACTCCTCTAAATAGGGAAAAACAAATGCATTTTAAGTATACTTAGAGACCTAGCTATCGCTCGCTCGGACGATTTTAATCGAACACAAAACCCGTCGATTTGTTGTGCAAATTTTTATGCCAAAAATCTTGCTCCCATATATCAAGTGTAGCTTATTTTCTGAAAGGAAAATTTATCTCCATATTTCAGGAAGAACATTTTTGTGATTTTTCAATCGGTTTTCCTAATAACTAGGAAAAACCAGGATAAAATGTCGGAAAAACAAAAAATGTACAAAATGTAGGTATTAGTAAAAAAAATATGGCCTTTTTTTCTGTTTACAACTTTTCTACCAGACATTTTGGCCTGATTTACAATGATAACACTTTTCAGAAAGTAAATCTTACTGGGAAGGTACTTTAAGGAGGACATTTTTCGAGTACAATAATTTAAAAGTTAAAATAAATTTTTATCCCACTAAATAAATAATAATTAAAATAATTATAACATGAATAACAAATATAATAATAATAATTAATAAAAATTAACTGACTAAATAAAAAATACTTTTATTTTAAGTAGCTTTTTGCAAGCGATTTGATCAACAATATTTATCATTACTGTTTTCATTTCGATGAATATTTAACAGTGAAAAAATTACGTACAAAACTAGCAAAATTAAAATGTCTATAAATTGCTCAATAATTTTACCACGTCAAGAATAGGCAAAAATTGACCCTCTCTTTCTCCCTTCAGGGACTGGCCTAGCACATATCTCCATTACCCTAGGACGTCTTTTTAAATTTGATTTTGAAATAATTAAAAAAAAAAAAAATGGCATTTATTTTTATTCTCAAGCAAACTTTGTTTGATTTTAAAAATAAAAATAATTTGTATAGAACTTTTTATCAATGTATCAAATTATTGATTTTTTTGGGGGTTTAGAACAATTTGGTAGGTACCTAAGATACTTACATAAAACAAAAATAGTTCGATTTGTCATTAAATTTACATTTATTATGAATGTTGTCAAAATTTAAACATACACTTTTACAAAAATAAAATTGACAACGATTTCTTCATCAGTAAGAACAACTTACAACGAATCACCACGAATTTTGTATCAATTTTTCGAGTTATTTTGTGGGACGAAATACAATATAAAAGATATTATAAGTAGATACCTATGACACTCGTATAGTAGACTATTTACAATCGTTGTGTTGATGTCATATACCTATATGTTATCTACATCGATCAAGTTATATTCCCAATTAAAAAGCACACTGAAAAAAGTCTAATTTAATTTTTTCCCGAAAAAAGTCTGACCACAAAATTACCAAACTGAAAAAAAGTTTGGTTTGTTTAATTGTATATACCGCTCGGGCGATAAATGTGGGTCAGACGTTAAGACAAACTAAATTGAACTAGGATAAACTATGCAGAATATTAAATCTACTCCGTTCCGTCAGGGGGAGGAGGGTCGACATTTTGTTGCAAAACCTCCAAACAGAAAGGAATAGATTACAGTTGCAGTAGATACAAATCGGTACACGTGTAGATAACATACGCCATGCCGGTAGATAGTATAGGTTCCTACGACACGTGTACCTATCGAAGGTACTTATACTTAATGAGTATCTTAGGCTTTTAATATTGGCGTTCGTCTTCGAAAATCTAGGGGGGGACACTGTATTTTTTCAATAATATTTCCTAATCACCTATGATATTTTAATTTTTCAATTATGTCATCAACAATCGATAGTGAAATTAATCCTATCATATAATATAATTTATATAACTATCATTTTTTTTATTTATTCAATTAATTTAATATAAATTATAAAATTGTATGTATAAATTTATAACAGACATAGAAAAGCCAGGGAGGCCATGTCCCTTTCTTGCCTCCTCCTCATGGACGCCCATGTATCTTAGTAATATGTATATCCATATAGGTATTAGGTAGGTACAGAAAAACATTTCGGAAGTTAATTAAATAACAAAATTAAGCATTTTAAAGTTTAAACACAGTTTCGGCACTCGTATGTACTTGTACTTGTATATACTGATATTGTGGAGATATACCTAATTATTTTTAGTAATTTAATCAAATTTTATTTAAATTTAAATTTAATTCTAAAACTATTAAAACATATTACTATATTACCTATGTTGAAAATTAACTCAAATATTTTTAAAATTATATATTTCTCATGTGATAAATTATAAAAAACTGTACAACTATTGAATGCTCATAAATAATTGTCAAATAATATTGTGCAAACAAAATTTCTCTTCACATGTGAAACATTAACCAAATAATTAATTTTTGGTTGAAAATCGTCAAAATATGCAAACAAAATTTATACCTATTTAAAATCCATTCAAATCTTTGAATTTTTATAAAATACTAAATAGACACAAGGAAAAAAAAAATCCCACAAATAATAATCAATATATTCTCACTGCAGAATCTAAAATACAGTAGGTAAAAGTAAAATAAATAAAAAAGAACCAATATTACTGATGGGTGTGCCACTGTTGTGTGTGGGAAGTCGAGAAGGTAGGATACATACGCATATTTGATTTAGGTAATATATCTGTACACACTACACATGTCCTAACACCATTCCTCACGAAAAACGATTCTGAGCATCCGAGCTTAAGGCTCGGTTAAGTAAGTTTTATTAAAACAAATTATACCAAACCACATATTAATTTATATTACAGTATAAATAAAAAATGCTACCAAAAGCTTTCTTATAATTTTTTGATTGGAATAAGATTACTGGTAAAAATGTTTACAAAAAAAAAATAACAAGAAAAACCAATCGAATCTGCTTCACGTCGCAACACTTAAAGCTGTGCTGCACCACCATCTATTCAATGCAATTTTCTTTGGTCAACAGCCGCCTAAATTATCCTCTTTACACAACCCCTTCAACCGCCACTACAACTTTTTAGTGCCGCTTTCCGTGAAATGTCGCGATTCAAAAATGTAGAATAGGTAAATGTAAACAACTCAAATTTTACCACGTTGTAAAATGCGAATAGTATAACTATTCTGAGGAAATTTCAGATCTCTACGGTTATTTTTACTGAACTACGACAAAAATAGAAATTAATGAAACTGTACATTTTCCCATTTTTCCCAATTATTGGGAAAACTGCAAGGGAAATCGAAATATTACTTCCAACTAGATTCAACATTTTTTGATCGGAGCAAGATTTCTAGTAGAAAAGTTGTTAATAGAGAAAAAAAACATTAATAATACATTTACTAGGTTCATAGTTAAAACCAATAAATTTCCCGCCGGTCGCCCAGCTCAGAATTTAAAATATTGATAGGTGACAGCCACGATTTCGCCATGATAATTTCTTCATAGTAGTTACCGTCTCCGCGACGACGGATACCTACAACGCCTGTCAGTGTGGTATATCCCGCACGGCGCGGCGGACGTGGTTTATTATTATTACCTTTATACTTTATTTCTTTCTCATTTGGTCGACAGCAGTTTTTCAAGGTAATACACACGGCACAACTGAACCGCCCGGAGCCGGGCCCCCTCTACGGCGGCCTACACGTCTAATAGTACCTACGGACTCGTCCGACGATTGTTGCAGCACTACGCGCAAGCGCACGCAAGCAGATCGTTCGCACGCGCACGATCTAGCGGCCAGGAGCCGCATACTACATAATGTATAATAATAATACCTACCTATATTCTGTATTTCTGTTCATATGTTTTACACAATAGATAAAACAAATTATCTCATTGATTCGTAAAAACTCGAATACCTACTCGCGCACACACGTCCGTTCGTGCCGCAACATCGTTCGGCGGTTCATCGTCGTCCCGCACACACACACACTCTTATTTTTCGTTCTATGTTAATGCCTGCCCCGAACAGTCCGACGTGTCCGGTGGTGGGCGCCGATTAATATTCGCCGTACCGTTCAACACTGACGGTCGTCCCTATCGCCAGTATCGTTGTTATTGCGGTGTGCGCTGTTGCGCGGACGTAATATCGAAAAAGCATAATATTATTAGGTATGTGCCGTCGTCATGTTCATCGGCCGTTTTTATTCTCGCCGCCGGCACACGACGAATAATCGATTTCGCGCATTCCACTCGTAAAAGTGCTAGCAATCATCACATCATAGGTACCCTTAATCGATAATAATATTATAAAAAAAAATTTTAATTTCAAAAACATCATTCCCTTCCGTTTCCCCACCAATTTGGACGTTATTAATTTTAACGCATATTTATTGCCGAGCGTGTGCGCGCGTACTCGGTACTGTTGTACTATACAATTATTAGTTGTTACGTTACATACCTATTACCCAGCTACCTACCTACTCGTTATTATTATTACGCACGCACATAATATTTTACAAATTAGTACAATATAAGTGTTATCGTTATCATCGATTTCGATATTACCCATTATCGCCGCGACGGGTTCCGCTCACCGTGTTATCGATGTAGACCCCGAAACCGTCGCAGAATAGATTAAAACGTTCTCCTCACGTACCATGTACACTGTAGGAACGAATAACGATGCGCTGAACGACTAGCACCATTCGGACGGAACGATCATTACACCGCCGTCGTCGTCGTTATTGTCGAACAACCAGGTGTGAACGTCTTGGGGGCCCGTCGAGTCATGGACCGGGCTGACGGATCGGGAAATTTCACAGGCAACCCGGACATCTGTTCACAGGTATGTAAATTCGATGACTGTCTGTTGAACGTTTTTCATTTTGATAGTCAAAAAACTACGAAAGCAGTCGTGTCGTGTGTTTTATGAACGCTCGAGGACAACTGCGACATGAAGTCGTCATTTACTCGTCAAGAATGTTCGGTGACATTTTCCCGTATATCTACCCAGTTACCTAGGTAGTATAGGTTTTCCTTGAACTATGAAAACGGACATAAGCATAAACATTGTGTGCGTGTATATTATGTATATATGTATGTATGTATGTATGTATGTATGTGTGTGTGTGTGTGTGTGTGTGTGTGTACACATACGGTTTCCTGGTTGCCTCAGTCAGTGTCTTTACAGATGTCTGACTTCTCTGTTGTTTGGTTAAAGAAATAAAAATTGTTTTGAATAGATATCCATTATATACCCAAGTGGTATTTTTCATAGTTTTTTTTTATTTTCTCAACATAGCCGGTTACATGAAAGACTCAGGCTTTTTGGTCCACGATCGGGTAATGTACCTACTGATATTGTTATACAGTTAAATATTTTCAGTGATGGGAAAGTTATTTTTAAAAATGTACCACCTAGTTCAATTTCAACAATTTTAAATAAGAGTAAATTATCTTTGAAATGATCCATAGGTACCTATATAATATTGTTATTTATTTTAATAACGCTATTTACCAAATATATAGTGAGTTACAGGGTAGTTAGTATGTATACAAAATTTTACAATAAGTATCTATATGTATGAGAATAATTAACCTTTTTCCTATAAGTGCTGATGTAAACATTCACTTATCAGTAAAGTTTTAGAATGTATGTATTTATTCAATAAAATATTGTTTCTTATGAAATTACCACACCACTAATCACCTATTTAACTAATATGGTTATAATTAATACTTAACTAACAAATTATATTTTCATAATGAAAACCAAAAATTGAAATATCTAGATAATGTATAATGTACATAATATGTGTCTAATATTATTATGTAAATAATTAATAGAATATAACCATGCTATGTTTTAAAGTTTGCCATACTTACCAAAATTATTGAACTCACTGTTAAACTTTATCACAAAGATAAAACTCCTGAGTTATGTTGTATCTTTGTATCCTAAGATTTGAAAAAAAATAAAGCAAAGCCACAAATTAATGCCACTATTAGGTATTTGCAGAAGTATATATAAACAATATTATTTAATATTATGGTACTTGTTTGTTATTGCCCCATCATAAAGTTGTATGAAAAATTAAATTTAATACTATTAAATGAATTTTAGTGACTTACAGTTATTTTCAAAAATGCTACTGGAATTTTATGTTTTACATAAATAAATTTAATTTAAGTTAGTGAAATGCGTTACAATGGTGGTGTCATAAAAGAAGTTGCCTGGTTTTAGACTACCAATACACACAATTGTCCATTTCATTTTCATTGTTTCTAATTTATTAATTATTTATTATATTGTTTATTTTACTTATGGTGGGGTGATAACAAACAAGTACTTATATTATTTAACAATATATATTTTAAGATTTATCATGACTAGATCTAGTCATTATAATTGCATAAATCAAACATCAAAATTCTCAATATTTAGTTACATCAAAATAAAATTATATTTGTGACATACACTTTTCTATTTTTTTTTTTTTCTTATAGTTAGGTATAATTTTATCTCATTATAAAAAATCGAACAATTTTAATTTTAAATTTTAAATTATCAGATAAAGAAGAAATAACTTTTTATTTAAAATCAAATATAATAGGTACTGAAACTTTATTTTTAGAATTTTATTTAATTTTAGAAAATTGTTTATTGCTCCAAGAACAATTATCATCATATGCTTTTCTTTTATAATCACCAGCAAGTTAGTAGTACGGTTTGTTACATTTTTACATATTTTATTATGATTAGTTCATAGGTTCATCATGACAATTTTTCAGCAAGAGTACCTACCTATATTATGTTGTTTGATATATATTTTATTAGTTAAAACATAGAGGTAATAATATTCAATTTAATAATCCGTATTTGGCCATTGATTCACTTTTTGATCTATCAGTATGAAGTTTAACTGTTTATTAAATATATAAAAGTTAATATTATTAGTGGTTTTTAAAATAAATTAATTACCTACCAAATAAATATTATAAGTGGATTTCAAAGGATGTATGATCTTATTATAGAAATTATTTAAAATATACCTACCTAGATACCTATAATTAATTTAAAACTAATTCTAATACATTTTTCTTGAGTATGTTTGACTAATTCATGAAATTTAAGTGTCTTTGGTTTGTGAATTTATATGCCTACTCATGAAATGTATTAAGTTTATTTTTATTGTGTTCTATTTCTACAATATGTAATATTTATATACACAATATCTATTTATATGGTAATTGCAATCTGTTTGCATTAACTTATTTTTAAGGTTCTTGTCAAATATATTAGGTATGTATCTATACCTTGTTTCATAAGAAAACATTTTCATTCGGCATCCCACCCGGTAGTACTAGTCACAACCATAGATATCTTAAGAAATGTTAAGAAATGACATGTCTATGATTGTGACTGGTGCTACCTTATGGGGATGTGCACCACCTAACGAAAATCCTAATTAAAAACTGGTCACAAAAGTGGTATGTTCTCTTTTGAAACAGGGTATATATCAATTTAAATAATTTAAATAGACACTGGCAATAAAGATAAGAAATATAAAAAAAAAAAAAACAGTTTTAGTTCCTGTTTAGTTGTATAAATAAGTAGGTACTAAAACTTTTTTTTTTTTTATTTATGTAAAAGTATTGTTTAATTAAATTAAAACTTATATTATATATACCAAGAATTAGTTACGGTTGATGATTATTTATTTCCAGTAGATTTTTTTGTTTTTAATATGATGTGATACTGCCTGTATGTGGTGTCTGTTTTAAAAATTTACAACATAGAAATATTTGTGTTTAACGGGGATAGCTTTGTGTTGTTAGTTTTAATACTAGTGTGAATTGACTTATTATCAAACTTTAAGATAATAAAATTATCTGAACAGATAATAATTGTATCAGTTTTTAAAATTTTTAAGCAAGTTATAAGAATTTGTAAATATTGTGATATTTCACATATTCATATTATTGCTTAAAATTAAAATATCAAGAAGTTTTACAGATTATGTTCTTATCTTCAAGTTATAATATTAGATATTATAATAGTAGATAATAATTTAATTCATTCTAATATTAAAACTAACAGTACAAAGTTGTGGTTGTTCCTGCTGAATGCAAAATTTCTATGTTGTATGTTAGTTAGGGATAGCACCATGTGGTTATCTTAACATTAATTAGTACAACTGAAGATAATTCATTGTTAATTTGCATTATATAAACAGATTTGTATTTTTCCATATCTAGTAATTCTTCATTAATTTTGTGGTCAATGATATTGTATTAATATATAGGGTTGTCTTGTGTATAATACAGTAAAATAATACACATTGTATGTATACACCTTAATTGTATACATTAAATATATATACACAAAGATATGCCTATTGTGATATCTTCAAAGATAATAAAGACAATCAAACTTTTTTTTTTTTTTATTCTCTGGAATAAAGACAACAAATATTTATATTGCAATTATTTCCTAGCCCTTATCTCAGTGAGTAATATAAACAAAAACAAAATTTGATTATCACTGGTGGGACACCCTTTATAATAATATAAATTATTTTTTTAAAAAACTAGTTGTTTATTTATTATACTGTAATTTATATCTATCTAATTATAGTTTACTTGGTACATATGCTTGCATTATTTTTTATCTGATAATAAGAAAAATACTATTAAAAATAAAATAAAAGATTGTATACATTATATATCTAAATTGTATAGTTATATTTTCATTCCTAATATAGTAAAAATTATAAATTTAATATGTAAGTAATTAAGTTGCTGTTGTTACCTTGGTACAAAGATTAAAAGAAAATTTTCATACTGTTAATTACATTTTTTTAATTAATAAGCTTTAAAGATTAGGTGTAAAAATCCAATATTCTAATCTATTCGTGTTCTTATTTAGCTAAGTGTTTACACATTTTAAAGGTTTAGTTGGTATATTATTAATAACTACATATGAGTATCCTCAGAATGGATATCTTCTTTCCTTTCAGTCATGAACAACAGTATTGGTGCAATTTTACAATTTGTAGATGCTCATTATTTTCAGATAACTAAAAGATTTATTTATTAATTTTGACACTTGATATCTCAAAATTACATTTAGATTTAAATTTGTGATTTATAAATATTTAATGACAAAATGGATTTAGTTTAAAATGTTTCTTAAAATCAGAGCTCATTGACCTTGATTTTGTAACCTTACTGAATAAATTCAATGATTTACCAATAATATATGAGTTATGTAATAAGAAGGTTGCTATTCCTGAATTAATATTAGGTATGATAGTATGATTGAGTTTAAAGTCACTGCTATTCATTCTATTAAATTATTTATTTTTTTTATACAATTTATCGTTAAAAATAGTTGATAATACTAAATAGTTTTATTTACTAATTGCCTGATTTTTTTTACAAGTTTTACTTAGCATTATAAATTATAATATAAACAAATTTTAATTAACTTTTTAGTAAGATACAAATGGTATACTTCAACAACATTCTTATTTATTTAATATTCACTAACATTTTTTTCAATTTTAAAAAATAACATTAATCACTCGTATTTGTTTATTCAAAAATATAAAATATTTTTTGAGTGGGTATCTTTTATTGTTCAAGGACGTTGTTTACCATTACTTTATTAGGCATTTTACATAGATTTCAATTCATATATCAGTGGTTTTCAACTTTTTTGGGTCCATGGCTCTTCTGATTTTGAAAACCAAATTAGCGGCCCCCTTACGAATAATGATAATAATAAAAATTAAAATAAACAAATGTATTGTATATTATTGTACTATATTTACTATAAACGCAGCTCCTTTGATAATTAACTCTGGGAGCCACAGATTAAAAACTACTGCCATATATCATAATGCTCATAACACAATTAAAAAAAAAAAAACGTATTTTAGATTCTAAGCAGTGATGAATGTATTGGTTTACAATGATGTTTATTAATATTTTTTTTATTTGAAAACTTTTCTACCAGTAATTTCGTTCTGATTAACAGTAATAGCGCGTTTTCTGAAAGGAAACGGAAAACGGAAAAATAGGTACAATATCAAACAAATATTATTTAAGAAAATATAAAAATGCATATGTAATTATTTTACCGCAATATGACATATATATTGACAAAGCAACAATATTAACCGAACTCGCCCTAACTCGTTTTTTGTTGGCGATGGTTAATTGTTACATACATAAAATGTCCTCCTACCTTCTTAACTTTTCACTTACAACAATGACTTCCCCATTTGCGAAGTATGTTCGTATTTTTTGTTTGAAAACTGGCCATCTCCTTCTCTATTTTCTTAAAGATTTTAAATGAATTTGGTTTTTATTCTTTTTTCAATCAGTGTGGAATCGAATAATTTTTATTTAGCCTAATTTTAGTTTAAAACTTAAAGGTTTTTATTATTATTATTTTTTTCAAAATGTGTGTTTTCCAGTATACCGAATCGTGATCTAAGATTACCGATCGCGTAACTGCTGATACAATGTAAATTAAATATACTTGGTTTTCCTTGCGCGATCGCTGTCGGCTCGAACGACTTGTTTTGAAAACAAATAATATGTTACGACACTCATGTTTCCCTTTGACGTCGGCCGTTCAAAGAGAAATATGAGTTCTGCAATGTCCAAGTTTAATAAAGTTCAAGACGAGCTATTGGTTGAATGCGTAGCCAAACATCTGCTAATTTATAATCCCCATAATAAAGATTATAAAGACTTGAATAATATAAGAGATGTCATTTAGAAGGATATAGGTAGGTATGTGAAAATATTAGGCGAAGTGGTAAGTAAGCAAGTATTATAAATAGGTATCGTTTCTAAAAACATTGTTATTAAGAATATAAATATATTAATTGCATACATATTTTTTTCGAATAATATATTGATATGAATGATTAATAGTATCTATAGTTTTGTGTTCTGTCAAGTAAATAACCAATTTTAAATTTTCTCATAAAATTAATTCGTAGTTTTGTTTTATGTAGATCAACAACTCCCGAATTTAGCACTTCAAAATATTGAATACGACTGAACGTTAAATGATGAAATATAAATTATATAAATCTCGATCTCAACGTAGAACCGTCTAGAATAAACTAAGATACCGTTCGAATAAAAAAACGACATGAAATTTTTTTTTTAATCTAGTTGGTCGTTTTTTGATTTTTCGTGCAGTTTTTTGAATAATTAGCAAAATCAAAAAAAAAAGACTAACATACTTCGTACGATGGATGCAGCCACTGTTGTTGGTGAGAAGTTGATAATATAGGATATACAGAGGGGAAATTAATTTGTATTTGTTATCAACGATAAACCATTGCTAACGAAAAAACGATTGTGAGAAGTTCAGTTGATAGTAAATTAATAATAGTATTTAATTAATAATTATATGTTATTATAAGTGATTTGCTTATTGTACTTGTTTATTGTAGGTTTATTAAATAAAAGTGATTATATTATGTTATGGGGAAATAAAACCGCCATTAAGTTATTATAATTTGTTTAAGTAGGTTTTTAGATATATATCAACTAACAATTTTTAATCAACTAAAAGAAGCTAATTTAATACCCAAAAGATCATTTATGATTTTATAAACTACATACGATAATAATATTGGTTTTTAAATAATATGTGTATGATAGATAAAAATTAATTTGTTTTTAATCAGTAAGGTATCATTTAATTTTATATTTATAATTTAAGTATAAATAATAAAAATGATGGCTCAAGGGGGAAGGAGAGAAAAATTAAAATATATCCAAAACAACTTGAGTCTTATCTTTTATATCTACTTATACTTCCTATGATATTTTGTATTTTAGATTTTGAGTGTAGTGAAGAATGTATTAATTTTACAATGTTTATTTTTTTCTTTAAATTGTGACAAAAATTTCTACCAAAAATTTGACTTTTTTATGTAAGTGTAGCACCTTTTCTGAAAGGAACTTTCGCCTAATGGTACTTTGTGGAGGTCATATTTTGATTTTCCAAGGTGTTTTCATAATATCTGGGAAAACCTAGGATAAAATTTAAGAAAAACGGGAAAATGTATGAAAATAATGCTCTTTGTTTAAAAATATTAGTATGGGCTTTATAAATTGAAATTTGGATTTATAACTTATATTTGCATTTTCTAAACATGGTCAAATTTTGAAAATCGTGTTTGAGTTCAAAATTCTGTGAAACAATCTAATTTTTTAATTTTTTGTTTTGATCATATGCATACCTATTGCCTATTTAAGATTTAAGAACGATGGTGAAATCAAAATTGATCGGACTGACTTAGTTTTGATTATATTAATTTATAATTTTGAAACTATACCTTTTTGAAGTTCTGATATTGTGCGGATATATGTGTTATCTTAAATATCTCTTTATTGTCAATTTTATACTGTCTGTAGTAGTCTAGTGGTGGTAGTGTGGTACATACCTATTGTCATCCCAGAGATTGCAAGTTCAAACGCGAGTTCGGAATTTTTTTTTACAAAACCATGTCCGGGTTGATAATATGGAAAAAACAAATGCATTTTATGTGCATCTGTTGCTCAAATTATTTTAATCGAAAATACCTCCATTTGTTGTGAAAACTTTTCTATCAGAAATCTTACTCCGATTTTTAAGTGCACGACAACATACCTATTTTGTAACATTGTGGATCTAGTTGTTGACAAAGAAAGTCGAATTTATAGTTTTTTTTATTTTATATATTTTCATATAATATTGTGTATTATTTATAGATCAATTAAAAATATGAAATTGTATAATAGAAAAATATTTTTTCTTCCTACACGAAAAAATATGTGTTTGCTGTGTAATTCATTGTATTCAATATATCTTTATTTTACTATAATATAACACTATGTATAATTATTATTGTATTACTATATATTGTTAAAAAAGCAATACTATTAACCGAGTTAACCTTCCCTTCTATATCCTACCTTCCCAACGTCCTCTTCTTTTTTTTATTATAATATGCTCAATATACAATTTTCTTATTGTTAAGATATTTATTTCTTATATTTAATTAAAATATAAAATACTTTAAAGTAAATAGTAATTGTCTACCCTATTTTTAGTTTTATATTTGCAAACATCTGTTAGATGAAATAAATACAAACCACTATTTAATGCTGTAATTGTTTTTCTTGTTAAAATTTGTCTTGCATAACAAATTTATGTTATTAATGAATGAGTAGGAGTATCTACTCTCACAGTTAGAAGGCGTTGGCAATAGAAGTGGTTTTGTGGGGGCTTTCATGCAGACCACCACACCTGTCTGTCTGTTGATATATTATGGTCTTAGGAAATATGAAATTAATCGTAAAGAATTTATAATTCTTTTTATTTTATACTTACGATTATAATTTTCAAATACATATTACCTATAAATACTTTAAATTTAGGTTTAAATGGTTGATTGACAAGACAATAGATACAGTTATAGTAGACACATACACTACCAACAATTTTAAGACTAAATATTATATTATTGGTACAAGTGTCTTAATTTTGAATGTTTGGCTCACACTTGTTTGTCAGTTCTATAAATCAAAAATGAATAGAAAATGTGAATTAAAAATACTAATAGTTAATACTTTAATTGTAGAACTTTTAGCAAATTTTGTAAGCTAAGGTCATTAGAAGTAGTTATTGAATTAATATTAATTAATATTGGTATAGCTGTAAATACTAAACAAGTTGGCAGTTTTTTTAATTTCATTTTAGATTGTGAGTGAAGCAAAGAAGCTTATGGTTTTAAAAATACTTTTTTTTTTTATATGTGCGTAACTTCTACCAGAAGACTTGCTTAGGTTTCTAAGTGTAGCACTTTTTCTGAAAGGATATCAGTGTGGGTAGGTACTTTCTTTAAGGAGATAATTTTTCGAGTTTCTCAAACGTTTTCTTATTAAATTTGAAAAACCAAAAAAACGGGAAATATTAGAAATGTAGGTATTAGTTAAAATATATTATGGCCTTCTTTTTTTCTGTGTACAACTTTTCTACCAGTAATTTTGCTCCGATTTACAGAGAGCACTTTTTCTAAAAAGAAATCTGTCTGAGGAGGTACTCTAGGGATGTCATTTGTCGATGTTTCCCAAGAGTTTTCCCAGAATGTGAAAAACCAGGAAAGAACATGGGAAAACCAGGAAAATCGGTACAATTTTAAACAAATATTATAAAGAAAATATATAATGCTTATTTAATTATTTTACCATAATATGACATATATATTGTTGATAAAGCAACTGAACTCTGTTCAGAATTGTTGTTTTATATAAGCAATGGTTTATCACTGTTTACAGTATACATTAAATTATCTATAACAGTAGCTGCACTCATCCTCATTATCCTATGATGTCTTTTTTTGTCAATAATATTAATATTATTCACTCATTTTTATTTTCTATGTGTATTATACAATGCAACATAGGAATTTGAGATCAAAACTTTTATACTAATTTATTCTATTAACTTCCACCAACAATTTATTGAAAAGATTACACATTTAAAAATTATAATTAGTTATGAAAACTTTAGTCAGACCCAATATGAAAAAGTTAAATAGTTGATATGAAATGGACCATGTCAAATTTACTTTTTTTAGAATCTTCATCATATCACCAGAATGATGGAATATATTAAAAATAAAATAAAATAGCTTGTATTTTTGTTCAATAATATACAATAACAATTATAAGAAACAAAGTCATATATTTACTTTAAATTGTTCTTAACCCTAGAGCACACGCTTCATGGTCTAAAAGACCTGGGTTTTTGAATTGTGTTATTGTTTCAAAAATATGGAATATTAACCTAACCCAACCTAGTTTAGAAACCTTCTAATTAGGTTATGAACTACAATTAGATACAACTCCCAACTATATATGATTTGATATCTGGAAAATAGAAGAGTTAAAAGTTCATTACTTATACAAAAACTGTCTATAAGACTGAGTGTGTGTTATACTGTGACATTTTTAAACAATTTAATTTTATATAAATTCAATTGTGGGTTATTTTTAAACTATGTTTCCTAATAATTTTTGGCCGATAAATGTTTGTCAATCATTATTTTATTTCCATTGTGTCTGGTGAGATTGTTGTTAGTTGACTGTTGATATTGCTGTAGATGAGTACATGGTTGGTGATTTCTATCATTTATCATAATTTAATTAAATTTTTAATAATTAATAATTTCAATGCATGGTCAAAAACACGGTGGATTCTTGTGAATATTTTAATACCTGTGCTCTAGGGTTAATAACCATGAAATTTATTAATTTTATAAATATATGTAATGTTTGTATTTGTTTTTAGGCCAAAGACAGAGCTACTATCAAATGGCTTCTATCAAAGGCGTATAATAATAGGATTCCAGAAAATTGTATAGAGCCATTTTATAAAGATTATGATGTAAGTAAAAAAATACTTAGTTAATTATAATTATATTTTACAAATATCTTCAATTTTAATAGAATATTAGAGAACAAAAATGTGTTTAAATTTTTTTTTTTTTAATATAGAATCAAGAACATCTTAAACCATCTTTGGTACATTCATTAGCTAATGCTGAGCTGTATTGTTTAGCACTAGGGAATATATATACTGATCCAAATTATCATAATCTTAACCATTGGGGTGTTATCCAAGCTCTTAATAGAAAGGGTGTGAGCATAAATGATCCTTCAGTGACTGAAACAGTATTAATTCAAACTACACCTTTAAAACTTGTAAGTTTGTATGATAATATAATATTTATTAGTTAAAATGTAATATTGTGTCTTATTACTGATAATAAATTTATTTAGGTATTCATTCTTTAATAAAAACAAACATATTAAGAAGTTATTTTAAATTAAATATAATTTAAATTTAGAATTAATTTAATCAATTGAACAAATAATGTTGTATTTATTAGTAATATTTTTACTTATTTATTCCCCTTTTCCTCTTTACTTAAGTTAAATGCTATATTTTTAGTTTTTTTTTTTTTTCAATAGAGTGCACACATGATGATTATGGAATCTGTAATGAAATTATATGCCAAGGAAGTAGCAACACCTAACCGTGTAATGGCTGCTATCCAAAGACTGAATAATGTTCCTCATAAAACTGCAATTTCAATGCCTGAAGATTATGAAAAAGCTATTTTATTATGGATCAATCGAACTGTGGAAGCATTAAAACATCGCTTATCAAGTTCACAAATGGTTAGTTTAGTTTTATACAGTTAGTAATTATTATTTTAAATTGATCCCATTTTAATATATAAACCTAGGAGAATTTGTCTGTTCCTGACATTGCTTCTGTGAATGATTTCCATGAAATAAGTGATGGAGCATCAATTGCAGCTTTAATTTCATTTTATTGCCCTGATGAATTACCTTGGGAGTATATTACTGTATCTAATGCACCAAACTCTTCAGATTGTATTAAAAACTTCAGTGTTATTAATGATTTTTGTGATCGTAGCTTGTCATATAGCATATTTCACATGAGACCTCAAGATGTTTATTATATAAGAGGGTATTAATATTACTAATATTAAATTTAAAAAAACATTTAAAAATTCATACATTTTGTTATAGGTCTATGAAAACAAATTTAATTGCCTTTCTTGCTGATTTATTCAATGTTTTGGAAATTCATCCAGCTAAATGTGTCAGTTTCAATCAGGGTAGAACTGATTTAGCAGATGGTAATTTGATTATTTTAGTTTTAACTGTACAAATTATTATTTTGTGGACGTGTAATAATTAGAATATTACTTTTCATAATAAGCTATGCTTAAGAATGGCTAAAGTTTGAATATTTTAAATTAATTGATCTGTTAAAATCATACTTTACACATATTATTAAACACAGCAAGCAATTTCTATATTAATTATATTTTTACTTAAAATCTATATATATATATATATATATTTTTTTATTTATATGCTTATATAAACTGCTGAGAAAATAAAAGTATTATTTTCGTTGCATTTGAAATTATTTCCAATAATTGGTATTTATCAAAAATATATGTAATACATTAATAGTAAATGGTTTTTTGTTTTCCTATTAATCATAGAAATATTAGAAGCATAGTTTAAAATCAAACTAAATGGACAAATTCATTAATTTAATAGATTTGTTTGTATGGAACTTTTAAATGACATTAAAGGATATTCAAGTTAAATTACATGTCCACAATATATGTATTTAAAAATTATATAATGTAATAAAGTATTAGGATATTTATTTTTAATATTTAATTTGTGACTCCAACAAAATAAAAGATGTTTTTTTTTTCATTTAAAAAATATTCTCAATATAATTTGTCAATAATGAATTATTAAGAACAAAATCAAATTAAATGAAAAAGATCTTGTATTTCTAGTAGGTATACTTCTGTCCTAATATAATTTATATTTGTATTCTACAATTAATCATTGCTAATGAAAAATGATTTTAAGTGAAGTTGGGTTTAACACAGTTTAAATGATATGATTTTTTACAATTTCCATAAAAAATTTATAAAGAATATATTATATCAAATATATGCAAATTATGACAATTTCATGTTTGTTTCATAATTTCAGACAACAATTTTTCTCTAAAATTAAAAAAAAACTACATTAATACATTTTTAATAGATGCATTGGCTTAATTTTTATTGATTCTATGTTATCTTGGCTATGCAATGAGAAAAATATAACTAATATTAGTAACAGTAATCTATTAAGAATTGTTATTTGATTTCAATGATACTCAAAGGTTTCTTGAGAACATCATAGGTCAAAAAGAATGCTGGGAATCAAACAAGTTTAGGAAGCACTGTTCTTATCAATCACCATAAAAAACAAAATCAAAAATAACAAACCTTTACTACATACATATTTTTGTTTTGTCTATTTATTCCCAATTATTAAAAAACTGCAAGGAAAATCAAAATATTATATCACCAATAATAAAACTTGTTACTTGAAACTACTCTTTAAATTAATTTGAGCACGATTTGCATTAGCACATTTTTTAATAGACTGAATAAAAATAAAATATGTGTACATCTTAGTAAAAATTTCCTCCTTCATTCAGAATCTATAAACATAATTTAGTATTAATAGGTATAGGTAGGTAGATTGTTAATATTGAATGGGGGGGGGGGGGAAAGTAATGCTAACATAGTTCCTTTAATGTGATTTAAAATGAAAAACAAATAAATCACATTTTTATTTTTTATTTCTAAAAGAAGTATTTTATATTTAATTCAGCGTGATTATAATTAGAACCCTGATTTATGTTATCATATTATCCATTAAAAGGTGCTTTAAAACATAAAAAAACCTGAAAAAAACAATTTAAAAAGCAAAAATGATAGAGAAGTTTAAAAGTCCCCTACAAATGGTTCTAACTTATTAAAGTAAATAATATCCTCGCATTATAAAATTGATTCATATAAAATAAATTTCTTTTAAATAAATTGTATGTGCTATAAAAAAAAATTACTTTTTATTTTGCGGTGTTAGAAAATTGTGTTTATAAATTAAATCAGTTAAAGTGGGGACTATTAAAATCTCTATTATTTTTGTGGGTTTTATATATTTTTAAGTGGATTTTTTCAAAGCATTTTGACAGTTTCAAATGGTTTTTTGTGGATTTTAATAACTTATAAATCCTGTTTCTAATTATAACATTCACATTGAACTAAATGTATATTTTAAACTGTGTATATATTTTTAAAGCAATGTATTATTGAAATACATAATTGATGTTATATAAACAAAAAGGTAATAATGATACACACATACATATATTTATGTATCAGTTATCAATATAATAGGCCTAGGTGAATAACATAAAGTCAATAACATTAAAAATTAATTTTTTAATTATGATGAAGTTTATCCAAGAAATATTCATGGGGTCGCTCACAAAAGGTTATTACCACAAGTGATATCTTTTATTCCTGATCTCCGCAGTAATCTGGATTCATACTCTACAGGGTTTACAGGTATCTGAATATTTCCAGTTGGTTTTTATTTTATATTTTTGTTTGAGTGTGTTTTTTTTTATATTGATGCCTCAAGAATTTAATTTTCACTGCCATATTAGCTTTGTGTTTTACACCATTTAAAAAAAAATGTTTATTGAATTTGATATCATAATTAAACATTAAATTAGGATATCTTCTTACCTCCTTTTTTCGTTCTAAATGCTCATGAGTGTTGAATGAATTTACTGTTTGCTAAAACTCATAATACACTTCTGGTAAACAGAACCAAAATTAAAATCAGTGATGTAAGTTTCAAGTTTTCACAAAAAATTGAAAATATTAGTGATGTGTTTAACTGTTGTGAGTTATTTATTAAAAATTATATGGACAATAATTATTTTTAATAATCACTATATTGGCCAAATATATGATTTTTAAATACATAATATGGCTACAATTTAAAATACACAAAATTATATAAGGGATAATATAAAAACAAACCTTTAAAATTTGATTATTCTTACTTCAAATTTAGGCTAGACTAAATTTGTAAGTTTAATAATTATAATTACTTCCAAAAATGTTTTTTAAATTAAAACTAAGCATGTTAAAACAACACTATATTCAAATAAAAAAGTCTATAATCATATTACGAAAAAAAGTTGTTTTGATGCGCATTGAGCTTTTTCCATTTAAACTTTAATCTTGCATCACTGTTAAAAATAGAATTATGATTTGTTTTTTCAATGTCTAAATTATATAATTATTTTTCTCATTTTTGCATGATTCAATGGTGCAAATATAATTAATTAATGCTTAGTGTGAAAACATTTAATTGGTAAATGCAAATAATAGAAATGTAATGTTGTTTATTTTTTTTTTAAACAAATATTTACTATTTTATTTTAGTGTATTTATAATAAAAATATTTATTTTTTTTCTACTAGTAATTTTCAATTAATATAATTTAATTATACATGATAAATATTTTGTGTTTAAAAAAGATAAATAATAAATAAGATCACAATTTTTTTTAAAAAAATATTAGAATATACCTAATAGTTTCACTAGAAAAATTAAATGTTTCATTAAGTTGATTCTTTTTAATCTATTCTTAGTTCTTCTTAAATCATTTATATAAATTCATTAGTTAAGTTATTTTATATTTCTTTATGAAAAATATTAGAAGTATGAATAGCCAATAGCTACTTTATAGTAATTAGAAAGTTATAATTATCATGTAATTTATTTTTACTATATATTCTAATAATTTATATTTTTTGTTTAGTATTGTTTTCAATTGTTTAGTATTGTTTTAGTATTGTATTGTTGAATTATAAATTTTGTTTAATTTCTATTTTTATAATATGCCAGGTGAAATAATATATAGCATTTCCTTTGTAGGTATTTCACATAACAATTCCTCTAAGAAAGTTTCAACTTCAATAACACCTCAGTTACCACCAGATGGGAAAAAAAATAACCGGTATAATAACATAATACATTTTAAAATATGTTTAATGAATTTATTTTATAGTGATCAATTTTTAGATGTAATGGTGAAGAGCAATTTGTTGTTCATCGTAATCGGTCTGTTTTAACACTGAATTCAATGTTAAATACCAGTAATGGTGATTTAAATGTTGATGTGGCAGCAGGTAAACCTACACACCGTGAAGATATGAAAAAACAATCTTATGCAGGTCGAAGATCTAGAAGGAATTCCTTCTCAGATGATTCACAAGTAAATATTCATTGTTAACATAACATCAAGTAATTTTAATCACCAAATTAGCATGAATATTATACTACTATATACAATATTACACGCTCAAATTCCAGAATGTAGTATAGTTTTACTATCGGTGTTGACAGAGACAGAAATATACCAATGTGTCATTATATTAAAGAACACTAATTCTGTTCTTGTTTTTGTTACTCCAATAATTGTTACTTACGTGGGTAATCCAATAGAAAATATTATTCTAGCATTTGATTGATGAAATCATAGTTATCACACACAATGTGAAGTAGTATAATATTAATCAAGAAAATAGTATAAAAAAAATTTGTTTTGAGCATTATTTTTAATAAGTTTATAAATTAACTAACTATGAAAATCAATTTAAATTAGTTGACAGTGGAAAATTTTGGTGGGTCACAAGATAATTTGCAGTTTCTCGGTCGAAATCCAGATAAAGAACCTGCAGTACACATATTACAAAAGAATAGTTTAAATAAAATCACTAATCCTTCTCCTTATCAAGAAAATAATAGTTCTGGTGTTCAACATTTATTACAAAATTCAAATACCAGTCCAAGTAATTTTATATTAATGAATTGGCTATTTATATTATAATTTTATTATATTATTTCTTATTTTAGCAATGTCAAGAGTTTCTAGTGATGCTTCTAATAATAGTCTTGGTCTTCAAAGAATGTTGTATGATAGTTTTGATGACATAGAGTCATCAGTTCAATCCCCTGTGCATACTCTTAAACGTAGTTTATCATATGTTGACACAACACAATCTGTGTTTCCACCTAGTACCACTACTTGGTATCAACAAAGTTGTTCATCTCCTGCACACAGTGAACAAGGTTTAATAATTTTATCATAATTTTATCATAATCTTTTTGTTTCTAATCAAATAACATTTTTAAGGAGATGGTTCTGAAAGTGATGGTTCAATTATGAGTTCTCAGTTGATGAATATTAAATTAAAACTGGAAGAAAAAAGACGTCAAATTGAAAATGATAAACGTAAAATGGAATCTCTTATGAATCGCCAAAGAACACAAATAGGAAAAGCTGCATTCCTTCAAGCAGTTACTAAAGTAATTTATAAACTTTAACAAGATTTAATATTAAAAACATTATAATATTTGGTTTATTTTATTTTTAGACTAAAAATAGTAAAAATGCACAATGCTCAGATTCAAATTATAGTAATATTATGTTCGGTAATGAAAATTCACCACCATCTAACAAAACTGCTCAACCGTGTTTTGCATTTCAAGTATTTATATTTTTATATTTTATTATTATTATTAGAGTTTTTTAACATAATATATTATGTTTATTATAGTTTTATTCCTATTAAAATATATTGTTATTTTATAATTTATTTATACAGAATAATGGAATAGAAAGTAAATGGTCTGATCGGATGAGTCCATTCACTGAAGACCAAAAGACACCTGATTTAGATAATGTTCACACAGAATATAATGCCAAGTAAATAATATTAAAAGTAAAATCAATGTTTATGACAATGTATTATTTTTCAGAATGCATCCAGATTATCAAGATGTTGATTTCCCATGTCTAGTTAACCCACAAAGTCCAGTTCAACATACAAGTTTACAGTCTGAAATGATACAATGTTTTCCAGATTTGCAAACATTGCAAAGGGTTTATCAAAATTCTCATTCAATTCAACCAAATCATAACTTTGTTATACCTAATGGACAAAATACAATAGATAATGATAATAGTCAAAAGTGGCACAGTTTAATTAGTAATAACCAACCAGCAATGTACAATCAGCCGGAAATATTGCAATTTAAGAAACAACAAGCTTATGTCAATTTAAAATCTAACATACCATCAAACCCTCAGGGTATATACCCTTCAGCTGATAACCATTATTTACCTTCACAAGATCCATATGATAATGTAATGCAATCTAATCCTGAAACACAGCAGTTTTTTTTACACCCTAGTCAACAAAAAATTCGAAAAAGTTGGGATATTACTCCATCACCATATGTACAAGAATCTCAAAACATTTGGAATGGCGGGTAATTATTTCATAATCTGATATAAACGTGTCATTTAGAAATATGAATTATAGTTTTAATTAATTATCAACTACTTTTACAGCCGAACAATACAAAAATCTTCTCAACCTTCCTCACTAAGTGGTTCACCGCGTCAGAAATCTGAATTTGCTATGTTAAATAGATCTGGGATTAAGACAAATCCATCATCACCAGTACCTCCTCCCCGCCGTAATTCCAATCATGTTGTAAGCCATTCACATATGACAACCCCAAGTATTGATGATATGCAGCCACAAAGTATTTCATTCATTGGTATGCATATGTATATACTATAAATTAATATGCATTAGCTAATTATTAATTGTTGTTAACATTTACATATCATTTTAGGTGATGATGTAAAGAAATCTAATATTGACCTTTCTGAAAGCTTAAATAGAATTCAAATAACATCTGGACATCGAACATATAGGATACCATCACCTACACAAACTCATATTCCAATCAATCGAAATTCCTTCAATGATAACAATTCCACATCTAACACCAGTCAAGATACAATCGTAAACACATCTGATAAAGGTTTTTATGTTTCATTTGAAGATGAAGAAACTCCTAAACGACCAAAACCACCATTGAGAACAAAAAAGATTGTATCAAAGGCAAGTAGTTATTTTGGATATTTCTCTAAATATAATATGATGAATTTAATAAATTACATAAAATTAATTTAATTAACAGGACAGAAATTTAACACAAGTATTAAACAATTCTGTATCATTAAATAACTTGGATATATCATCTAGAAATTTTAATTCTTCTATTAATAATGGAAAGTCATCTAAAGATTTTTCTACTCCAGTCAAATCTGCATCAGAATCTGCAGTATTGCAAAGCTCAAATAATAAAACAAAACTCTCTAAAACATCTACACCTAGTGGAGTAGAACTTATTATTGAAAACTCAAATCCAGATCCAGTAAGAAATAAATTGAAATGTTAATTATCATTTTATATTATTTTACAAGTTATAATTTGTATATTTAGGTGGCTATTGATGAGATGGAAAAAAAGAAAGAACGAATACTTTTATTGTCTTTACAACGAAGACAGCAACAAGAAGAATTAAAAACTAAAAAGGAAATTGAGTTCCAACAGAGAAAAGAAAAAGAACAGTTAAAAGATGAAATAAAGCAACGAAAAAAAGAAGAGGAAAAAAGACGTAGAGCAGTGATTTTAGAACAATATAGAATAAAGAAGGCTATTGAAGAAGCTGAAAGAGAAGTACATACCAAGAAAATAATTTTATAATATCTTAGTTTATTAATGTATATTTTTAGGGGAAAACTGTAGATAAAGATCTTTTAAATTCTTTAAAACCTAATCAAAATCAAACGGTGGGTGGTCCACCAAGACTTCGAAGTAAAATGCAGAATGGACGTCCACGACCTAAAACTATACATATTGATAGAAGCGATACACCAGATGCAACCTTAACACCCTCTCGGGGCAAAAAGGGTTCTATCTCAAATCTTGCAAGTGCGTATTTTTATTGTAAAAATTACCAATTCATTATAACACTTTTTTTATTCATCACGCTTGAAGTTGTTTGATGTCTTTAATGATTTAATGTTTTTGTATGGTACACTATTGAATCGTATTTATTTTTTGTGTTGTGCACGTAGCATTGAACTCACAAATAAGACGTGATTATTATCGTGGGTCACAAGAAAGCGTAGCCGAAACGCGGCGAACATCGACTTCTTCTCTTTACTCAGGTAAGTGTATTAAAGTTTAGATCATTGGCATAGGCACTATGTAAATGGATGCCCAGCACTTGAGCACCTATTGTAATATTTTTAAGGGGGCAAAGCGCCATTAGGTATAATACCAGATGATTTAGAATATAGGTAAAACAAATAATAAAAAATTGGCACTCTCAATTAAATCATTCAATAAAATATTAAATATTTAAAATAACATTTACGTTAATTCAGTTTTAAAAGAATTACATAAATACAATGAAATAAAGAAAAATAATTTTAATATTTTAAAAATAATCTCCTATTAAAATAAATTATTCTATGTAAACCAATTTGTATACATTTTTTCTCTGTATTTTTTCATTTGGTTTTTATATTTACTTATCATAATACTCAAGGCAGCATTCATTCATTCATTTATTTTTTATTTCTATATTTATTTACTATACTTTTTTTTTATAATTTGTATTATTTTAATACGTATTTTTTTTTATAATTTATGCATTTTTAGACTAAACAATTTTTTTGTTTTTAATTTTTAATATATACAATTTAAATGATAATGACTATTAACAGTCAATTTTTTAAAAGTAAAACTTTTTCAAAGTATAAACTTTGATTTAAAGAAAATATATCAGTAACTTTATAAATTGGTAATTGGCAAGTATATATATACTGTTTTGTTTTAGTACATAGTTATCAGTACTAATTTCAAACCACAGTGAACAATGTGTAGATAGCTATATTTATTTGTATGTTAAACATACATATTTTTCATGGTGGAAAGGTGTTTAAGTTCATGACATTTAGGGCACCCTAAGGTACATTTTTCAAAACCTATGATTATTGGGATTTCATATTTCAACATTTGATTAATAATTATTCAGATTGTGTTTGAAATCCCCTATTACTTTTTCTCCAAAATTTTATTTTTAACTTTTAGATGTTACAGATGAAGCAAAACTAAGAAACCCAAGGAATTTGGACCGCCATGGTTCTTATAAAAACTCAAGAGGTTAGTGTATAACATTAAATTATGCTTATTGTGTCTAGACAATTTTATTTTTATTTAGTTGACTAGGTTTGCTTGCTGATTGTATATTTTATTTTGTAAATTGTGTATTTTATATAACTATATAATTATTACAATATTTGTGTGGTATTATGCTTCTTAAAGCCTATATTATCATATATTGTGGTGTGATTTATATAGGTCAACTTATAACAATATTATAATAGTATTTGTATACATAAATATATAGAGTAGGTACCTACGTATTCGTTATACTAAAAAAAAATAATATTTTTAGGAGACTTATCATTTCATACTTTTAGATTAAAAAAAAATTAAAATAATAAAAAATTATTTAATTTTTTCAAAATGGCAAATTGATACATCACTAAATAATTTTTTAATTTTTGTGGATAATATGCCTTTATCATAAATTTAGAAGTATTACTTAATATACAAAATATTGGTAGCATGTTTGGAAAAAATTTTTACAGATTCCTCTTTGGACAGAACAAAACGTAAAACAAATTTTGGATACTTGAATAGCGCACCTCGTAAATCCAGTTCTCTCATGAATTTGTATGGTAAGCTGAATTATTAAAAGAAAGTGGTGAAGGTCTATCCCGCATGATAAATAAATAAAAAAAATTGGTGTGGTATTTTTTTCTTATTTTAATTACAAGAATTTAAATACATATGAAATATTTACAAACTAAATTCCTATTATTTTTGAAATTTATAGTTATGTAATTGATTTTATATTTGTCATATCCCATTTATTTACATAAAACAATATAATGTTAATATGAGTATTCTTACATAAGAATACATTTATATTATAAGATTTTAATATTGTATACTTATAAACATAATAAGCCGGTTAATTGAATTTTAGACCAAGTGGTTTGGAAATCTTAACATTATACACCTTATAATATGTTTCCAATATTAATTATGGTGTAGATTATGAAATCTCACATTTTTAAACAGGTGATATCATTAATAAGTAGTATACATAATGTGTAGATATAATTAACACTCAAAGCCCATATAATGGCTTTTTAATTGCCTTTTCAATGAGAGTGTAGGTATACGATAAACTTCTTTTACAATCAAATAACATAGTGAATATGTGATTTCTTTCAACTATACAATTATAAGTTACTGCTAAGGAAGGAAATTTTATCACAATGCCTGGGTATAGTACAAAAGTGTTTGGACAAAGTGTACTTTGTCCAGATTAATGTGGGCAAAGTTAATTAAATACAGTGCACACTTATGTGTATCTAATGGTTTTCATTACTAAACAACTACCCACATATTTTTGTTTTTTTAATACCATAATATACAAGATACTAATCTGATTTTTGGAACAAATAAAATTAAGTAAACCATATAGTTTAGTGGTTTTTTAATGCTTGTAATTTATAAAAGTAATATTATTTTTTATACTAATTGCATATTTCATAATCTAATCATAAACTGACCACTAGCCCCCAATATTTTTATCATACACAATTTATGTCTAGTTGTTGTTATTAATATAGCCTTTATACTAACACAATGAACAATAATATTATAATTAGTATTCCTACTACATCTAAGGAAAGTATTTTTTTTTCTTTTAGTTTGATCATAGCTTTTAATCTTAAGTTTTTTTTTGTTTATTATAATAGGAGAATCTTTAATATTTTTATTGATTTATCTAATTTGTTCAATTATATTTGAGTACTGTAAAAAATACCCATACAATGTAAATCTTTTTCAAAACATTAGACATTTGATACAATGTCCAATTTCCTATTTTAACTTTAACATATATAACATATATATATATATATATATACATTAGTACATTTATATTTTTATCAATTGTGAAGTAGAAAATTTTTTAGAATTGCACTTTACAACATGCATTACCATGGGTATTACTGTTGTTATCACCATCATGTGTTGTGTATTTGTGTCTTATATTGATTTTGTAGGATCATTATTGATGGTTGATTTTACCAATTTTTTTTAGGAGGCTCCAGTTGTGATCAAGATAGTTTGTTATACCGGTGTGGTGATACAGACTCTGGTCTAGGACGGGCCACTCCACCCAGAAGAACCGCCTCACCATCTGGTCCTGGTTCGTTACCAATCCGTCGCAAATTTGAAGATGGGGCAAGTGAAAGTGGTGGTAGTGACTATAGTGGTCCTAGGTGAGTGTCAAACACTGGCTACTATATGGTCTGGTTTGTGGATTATGTTAAAAATATGTAAGGGAATTAATGGCAATTAGAATGGTTTCATAGACAAAAAATCCTGTTATATTTGTTCACAATGTTCTTTTTATACATTTCATATTTGTTCACTATAGACTATACAAACAACCAGCGACCAAATCTAACCGTGGTATCATATTGAATGCTGTTGAATACTGTGTGTTTCCGGGTGTGGTGAATCGAGAAGCCAAGAAACGAGTTCTGGATGAAATCAATAGGTCTGAAGCTAGGCACTTCCTGGTGCTCTTTCGAGATACAGGATGTCAATTTCGAGCCTTGTATTTATACTATCCGGAGACCGAAGAGGTGGCTAAACTATATGGTACTGGCCCACGGATAGTTACTGATCGCATGTTTGACAAGTTTTTTAAGTGAGTTTAACTAATGAACTAAGTTGTTACATAATACAGTAGAAATCATTACTGATTGCAATGAGCTAGGTCCTGGCAAGAAATGATAAGATCTGCTCATTATATTTTGTTGATAAATATTAAAGCTTTATATACATTTTATCTTTAATTATATTGCTTTTATTATTTTTGTGTTATACATAAATGTAATTTCTATGAGTTCTGATAGTTCAAGTTTTTAATAATCATGTATTTCGCTAATTGTGTGTCAGAGTTATGTTATGTCGTAACCTAACCTATTTCTACTGTATTTATTGTAATATGATCTATAAAGCACTAGTTTCAATATAATAATGATGATAAATACTCTAATGGTCTATATACTGACAGATAAAAAAAAAAAACAATTTTATTTCTATAGTATTCTATGAAATACAAAAACTTAAAGTATTATCAAAATTACAAATATTTTGTTATAGATAAAAAAAAAAACTTAACATAAATTTAAAAAGTAAAAAGTAACTTTTTTTGATTAAGTTAAACATTTTTGAATACCCAAATAAACATAAAAAGTATTTTTATACAATAGTTTGCAATTTTTTGAACATTTCAAAAATCAATTTTGGTCATTGTGCACTGGTTGCATCTACTGTTATAAGAAATTTAATTTATACCTGTAAGCAACGGTAAACCATTGCTAATGGAAAAGTGATTCTACAGAGTAGTCCAAAAGACAGTTTCCGTGGGTCAAAAGTTAATTTCTATATTATTTCGATTCAAAACCAATATGTTTATTTAAAGAAAACTTCATGGATTTGTACTGATAACAGTGGGTCACAAATCCACCTTTTAATTTAAAATTCGAAAATTAAAAAATAACAAGTTTTTGTATTTATATATAAATTATAAGTAAAAGCAATAACAACAAGTGATAACAAACAATGATATCTAGTTTAGATGCGGCTTCCATGAAAATCATTGGTTGTAGCCTCTCCCCTCAGGCTAAAAGTTAACATGTGTTGCTAGGTCACAGATTTTTCTGTTTTTCCTACCTTTCCCAGTTTTCACATTTATTGGGAAAATCAAAAAATGACCCTCTAAATTATTTTCTTAGTCAAATATCCTTTTAGAAAAATTACTATCATTATAAATTGGAGCAAAATTGCTGGTAGAAAAATTATGCATAGAAAAAAAAAAAGAATAATAAACATCTTTGTAAAACCATATGCTTCTTCGCAGAATCTAAAATTATATTGCTATCTTATATAGAAGAAAAAGCAAATGCTTTAAAATTGGAGTTCTAATGATCTACAACAGCGGTTCTTAAACTGGTAATATGGCCACATGGTAACAGTACAGAAAATAATATTAATAATTAATTAATTAGTTAATAAATTAATATTCATACAAATATTTTGAAAGGATCTTCTACTATATTTTATATTAATATTATATTGAAGTATTTTGCTGTTTTATTACCCTAATGGTTTGAAATAAATGTAAAACATGAATTGTTTAATTTTTAGTTTTATGTGGTATGTGACAGATCAATAATACATATAAGTGGCACAGGAAAGCCAAAAGTTTGAGAACCTTCGATCTGCACCTTACTCAAAATAGCATATATTTTTCATTATTGTGGGACATATCTGTCACTTATATACTTTATCATATTTAAAATTATGAAATATTAATCTTCATAATACAGAATTTTATTAAATTTGTTCTATATATATGCAAGCAACTAATTCAAGCTAAATATCTGAACAGGAAAAATAGTTTTATTTTTTAATGAATAGAAGATTGCAAAAATTGGTTATTGTCAAAAGATGATTAGTTATTGAATTACTAGTGTATCACTTATCTGTTACTCATTTAATATTACCCATAGGTTGAGCTTTTATAATGGCATTTTACATTATCTAGGTACTGAAGTTCTGTGTGAACAGAGATAACATTCCATTTATAACTAAATGTTTTATGTTACAATTATAGGTACAATTCAGGCAGCAAATGTTTCTCAGAAATACACACCAAACATCTAACAGTCACCATTGATGCGTTTACCATACATAACAGTTTATGGCAAGGTAAAAAAGTGAATTATCCCAATAAAAAAGACATGACACTAGTCGTTTGAGAAATCAATGCAATAATAATTCTTGCTTAAGTTATTGTTAGAAAAGGAATACTGTGTTGGTTTTTTTTTAACAAATTTTTGTTTAACAATTTAACTCTTTCTGCTGTTTAGAAGTCTTTTTGTAGCAAATAATAACTACTATAATACTATATTTTTAATCTTCCCAGTTGAAATAATATTGTTTTGTTTAAAATATTATGCTGTAAACGTTTACTACCTTATTTGTATTAATTGTCTTTATAAAGAATTTTTTTTTTTTATCATTTATGTGATTTATTAAATTTATTATTAAGAATATTATCTAACATTTGGATATTTTTTACTCAAACCACATGTTGCATTGTTTTGTTTACTTATATACATATAGATATAATTTATATATGTATATATATATATATATATATATATATATATATATATATATGTTTGTATATGTGTGCCCGTTGCAATAGTATATTCGTGTTTAAATTAAGAGCCTCTAAAAAATTTGAATACAATTTTTTTATTTATATGTATTTATTGGTAACTAAAGTCATCCATAATTATAATTATATTTGTCATACAGTTTATTATGTCATTATTATTAGTATTTGGTAAGCAATTGTTTTTATTAATACAAATTTTTTTAGACGAACAAACAAATTTTGATAATTTTCATCAAAATCATGTTAAATAACATTTACATATATCTACTTACATTTTTATTGTTAGACAATTTGTTTTTTATGCATATCGTTGCTTTGTAAACATATTATAACTTATAAAGTAAACAAAAAACAAAAATGATCATATTCACAAAACTATCCACAATTCAATTGTTTTTTTTAAGACTTGCGATTTATACAAATAATAAATATAAATATAATATTTTTATTTTATAAAAGTTAATTGCAATTTTTCTTTTATACAAGAAAGTGTGAGTATATGTTCTTGTGAGAGAAATGTGGGAAAATTTAATAACAGTCTATAATTGTTAATCAAAATTAATAAAAATAATAATAACAAGTAATCAACAAATTAAAACCACTATTTATTTATTACATAAAATACATAAACCTAATAATTCAAATAAAAAAAAAATTTGACATCTTCAACTATTAATAACCAATTTAATTAATCTATTTATTTAGTATACATTTATATTTTTTTGTATTCATTTTAAGATTATACTGATAAGATCTGTTTGTTAACAATTGTGCCAATTTGTAAGCATTACCTAGTATTTTTATTGTTTTTCATCATAAAATATTTTATTATTATTCTCCTCAGTTATTCCTATACAATTATTGCTATTTCTTCTATATTATTTAATTTTTTGGTGTTAAGACATAATTTAATACATTCTACACATTTTTTCATCAAATAATAAATGTCATTCTGTGATTTGGAGCAACACTGTATGTTAAAGTGGATTTATATTGCCTAATATTTTTTTATTAAATTTTTTTTTTTTTTTTTTTTTAAACTTATTAAATATATAAATGTGTATTTATTAATTTTTAGAACATAGTATTAGAAAATTCTTGACAGAAATTCCAACTGAAAAGATTATTGTATGTTTATATATTGTTAACAACAGGTACATTTATAAAATGTATAATAATACTAATAGTTATTATTATAATATATTTGATTATGTTCACTAAAAACCAATTAATAACAGTGTTACACTCAATAAGTATAAAATACTATATTGTATTATTGTCTTGTTAACTTATGATTAAAATGTGATAATATACTAAGCTTTTTTTTCTTTCTTTATTTTTGTATACAGTTTATTTCTATTTAGAACAAAAACCTCAATATGATCAGTGAATAACAGGTCAAAATTTAATATCTGCAAGCAAACATTCAAAGAAACAAATTTAAAACCAATTATAAAGTACTAAAAAGTAAATAAAAATGCCAATACCACTTGAGGTTGATGAGTATTTTATATAATAATGGTGGTTATAAAATATGATATTGTTTTTATATAATACATATTTTTAAACATATAGAATATAGCCTATAGGTATCTTGTCCAATGATATAATATAATATAATATATTAAGTAGTATTTATTTATATATCTTTAATAATACCTAGTGCATAGAGTATATTTTATATTTAATGATAATTAGTAACCAAAATATACCAGATAAGATTTAAATATTTATTTGTTTTGACTGAGTAAATATACTCTAGAACAAGTAAATGGATTAGGAGATCATGCCTTGGTTCTAATGTATTGGATACAAGCAATTGGAGCATTTTTAAGTAAAGGTGCAGCTCCTAATGAAATCCTCCAAAAGCTTATAACTGAAGCAATAATACACTTGGAAAAACAATTTGGTATGACAAATACCAGTGTTAGTCAACATTCAATGAATTCTGAAAGAAAATTATGGTTTATATTAGACTTTCAATAAAAATTATGTGGATGAGAATACTTAAAAACAAAGATAGAGCTTAACTTAGTAATCAAATAAATATGCTACAATACATTTTATTAAGCATATAAAGATTTATTAGTTTGTAAAAGTATGCATAGTCAAAAGTTGTTTGGTTTAACAATTTTTTTTTCTGTGGACAACTTGCCTACCAGCAATTTTGCTCTGATTTACAATAACAGTACATTTTCTGAAAGGAAATCGAACTGGGGATGTATTTTATAGAGATCATTTTTTTATTTTCTCAGGAGTTTTCCAATAAATCAGAAAATCAGGAGAACAGGAAAATTGGTACAATATTAAACAAATATTAAAGAAAATGTGTTTTTGGTTAAATTTCGCACATATTAATTAAAATTCTGACTTAGAATTTTTAAATGTTGTTAAAGCTGATATTTTAGAATACATAGATTTTTCACAACAATAAAGATCCTGTGGCAATACCAACTTTTAGTTTTTCACGTAAAAACCTATATTAAAAATAATATAATTAGATGGAGTACCTATTACTTTAAATAAATTTGAATGAAAATGAGATATTTTATTTTTAAATTTAGGTAGGGAAGATCAAAAAATTTAACACCAAAATTTAAAGTAATATTTCATATATTTATGGACTTTTTAATATAGGTTGCAATTTGAAAAACTAAAGTTGGTATCGCTACAGGATACTCCTTCATTATTGTGAAAAATCTATGTATTCGAAAATATCATCTTTAGCAAATACTTAAAAATTCTAAAAATCAGAATGTTAATATATGCAAAATTAAAAAAAAAAAAAAAATTGGGTGAGTACACTTAGTGAATCACCCCGTATATAGCAATACTATCATCGTGATAAAAACTGTATAATATGTCTAACTTTAAACTATTAAAAAGTACCTAATCAAAATCAAATGATATACATAATTCTAAAATACTATCAACTGAACTCCACTCAGAATCGTTTTTCGTTAGTAATGGTTAGTCGTTGCTTATATACATTAAATTTCCATATGTATCCTACTTTCTCACTTACAATAGTGGCCTACCCACATGCGAATATGTGTTGCTGTGAATTATTGCTATATATTTCTATTATTATCGTTGGGCCAAAAGGGTAGTAATTTAATTATACAGTTATATTTGTTTTCCATACAATTTATTGTGTTACCATTTAATCAGAGTTACCTTTTCCTATAGTTATAAAGTACACACCCACAGGCCTGTGCACAAGATTTTATAATGGGGAGGGGGGGTTGAACAAAGTTCTATATATATAAAATAGATACATCAATAATTAGAAAATATTATGTATTATATCTGTATGTGTATTTCATACATATGTACAAAATTAAGAATACATTGTATTCTTAATTTTATGAATCTTATTAATACTATAAAATGTAAATCATTGTCTTAATAAATTTATTTGACGAGATGTAGAAAAGAATTCATTCAATGCTTGGTTGATATCCACGTTTACATCACGATGTATATTTTTAACAAACTGTCCCAACGTTTGATGTCCAATCCCTCCACCTCGGACAGAAAATAACATACAATACTTACAAAATATGCCATTTATAATTATTAAATATGTCAAGTTGCTCAAATTGCTGAAATTTCTTTTTTTGGAAACAGGAAATTGGTAGTCTTCTGGAGGTGTCTAAATCAAATTTTGAAGTTCCGCTATCAAGTCAATACTTTCAGTTGCAGGTTTATTCACATACAATCCTATGTCATGTAGGTGCACAAACTTTGAAAGTGACTCTGAGATATTTGTTTCTGGAGATGCATTTTCTGCTGGTTTAGTTGATTGTGATAGGTTATTAATACTAGTATCATGTAAATAAAATGTAAAAACTAATTAAATGAATTGAATAATTGTAATAGTTATAATTAGTTTTAATACACTATCTTATCATTTTTAGCCGTGGTTTTTTGAAAAAATGTCGAATGTCCTTTTCGATGTTATTATTAACGTAATTGTTTATGTGTTTGTATAACTAACGTCGTCTCACACAATATGATTATGAGCAACTTTTAAAATACGCGGTGTTGCGGTCACGGTCATTATATTTTGTCGATAACGACTATGACGAAAGCCGATAAAAAGCAAATCCGAAGATAACAATAATTGTGGTGTGCTATTATTTTATGAATTATTTATTACAAATAAGGTAATAAAATCGATCAATAATGAAAAACACGATTTATATTTTTTCGGCAATTGGGGGCGGGGGGTTCATCCCTCTCCCCTTGCGCACGGGACTACACACCCACACATCACACCACTACGTAGCTCGTCAGAACTTGCGTGACACTCCCAACCACTTCTGATCACATAGTGACTGACACGTTTATGGTATATCTAGTTGGTGTAAATAGCGTGCCGACGTAGGTGCCATAACACGCGCGAAGTAGTTGGTTCCCGGGCGTTCGAATTATCATTTTTGGCTCCCTATCCGTTCAACTATAATTTTAAAACCAACAGCACAGAGTTGTCCCTGCTGAACGAAAATTTGTTGTCGTACGGTTGTATGAGGAAACAGAATGATTGTATTTCTTTCAATTTTGTACGTGGAGCGCGTGACGTGTGCCTCATAGCACGAAACGCGTTTTTTTACGATATATATCTATATTATAGTCTCTATTCTACAAAAATAGCTTATAATTATTAATAATATATAAATATATAAATTTCCAACCTGCGATTACGGAGAAAAATAAACAGTCATTGATCGTTTTTTTAATTTACAATTTTAATAACATATTTAAATAAATGAAAACATTAAAACAAGCTTTACTTAAAAGAGCTGATACTGGGGATGGGAGCGGTCACTGTTGTAGGTGAGAAGTTGGGAAGGTAGGATATATAAGGTTATTTCATTTCTATCTCTTAGCAAGAATTAATCATTGCTTGACGAAAGACGATTTCGAACGCAGTTTGGTAATACGTAATTATGAAAAGAAAAAATCCAACGATTTCGGAAATTTTACCACGTATAAGTAAGTCCAATATAAGTATTATTACCAAGTTTCAAGTCTTTACGTGTATTTATAACCGAATTACAGCAAAAACCTCACAAAAATTAAAATTCCTTAACAGCTCAAAATTGATTTAGGTTTAGAGTTGATATTGTAAGAAAGTAAATCAAAAATGCAACAAAAAAGGTATCTTGTGATTTTTTAATTAAATCATTTTTTCTGGTCGTCCGTATTTTTATAAAATAACGAAATCGTGAAATTGTACGTTTTCTTACGTTTTTTCCCGCTTAAGTGCTTTTTATTTAAAATATGACGTCGGAAATTAAAAAAATGACCTCTTTTTAAAGTACAATCTAGACAACTTGAGCTTTGAGAAAAGGTGCTACACTTATATATCGGGGCAAGTTTACTAGAAAGAAACGTGTATACAAACTAGAACAAAGAAATAAATAAAAAAAATAAATAGTAAACAGCATTGTAAAACCAATAGCTCCCTCGCTACGCTAAATAGCACTTTTTCTAAGAGGAAATCTGACTGGGAAGGTATAATCGAGTACTATTTCGTGTGTATATATATATATTATTATTCATAGAATGAACAACTCAAAAGTCTGATAGTTTTCTTTCTGTAGTATTGGCACCGACTGGTTTATAAAACAACCTAGTGTTTTTGACTTTCGATAGTTTAAAAACAACAGAGTACTTTCAAACTGAATAGATATTGTCAATAAAATGAACTACTCGATAGTGTCGATGGTCGATAGTAGAAGATAGTGTTGATAGTCGATATTTTTCAAAAACAACCGAGTTAATAGATAGTTTTAAACTTTTGAGTAGTTTGATAGTTTTCACTATGTAGTACCCACAATATTATTATTAGTATTATTTTTTTATTATTGTAACTTCATATTATTATTATTAATTATTTATTTATTTTGCTGGAGCCATATGCCAATATATATCACTCCTGCAGACCTTGAGCTTGGTATGGGGTACGCGCAGTCCAAATTTTCTTAACATGTTTTTGGTCTATAGCAGTTTTAAACCGTGTTATCAACAATTCATTATAATGGAAATAGATAAGAATATAATATTATCTTTTATAATCTATTCTCTATGCAATAGAAATTATTATTTTTTTTAATCAAATTTGTTTATTATTTTACCGATTTTCCCGGTTTTTCACATTTGTTTAAAAACTCTTGGGAAAATAAAAAAATAACTTTTCTAAAGTACCTCTGCAGTCAGTCCAGGACACAAAAGTCTATACTTAGTATGACGCGATCCTACCGCTACCCTCTTATTGTAGTTTTAATTAGCACAGTTAATATTGTGAGCCTGCCCGCGAAGAAAAAAACAGGATTTTACAAAACATTTAATTATACTCATTAATAAACTATGGCAAAAGTAGAGTAGCAATGTGAAAAACTGATATCCCA